TAGCATGAATCTCAAGGTGATTAGCATGAATCATAAGTCATTTTCTGAGTATGAAATATACAAACTTAGATAAAAAATAATCTAGAACTCAAATTTTAACAAACTTATAATCAAACTAACCAGCTCAAAGATATAGACTCAAGGACACTAAAATGATCTAATCCAAGTCAAATCAGACCCAGATAAGTTCATTATTCCACTTTTGGAAGCTTTTAGTTCTTAATTAAAATGTCAAACATATTTCAAATTTGATAATTTTATAGTGAAACAAAGTGTTTCAAGAGGAAGAATCTAAAGATCCCAAGATCTCTAATTTTGATATTGTTAAGCCACTCAAATGCCTGCAAAATATTATCTAATCGAGGGAATTTCTCAATATTTTCTGTTGTTGGGAAGCATCCTTGAGACTCAATAAATAGAGTCATTGCCCCTTCATGAAAGGTGGAGGAAGTTTAGATGAATACCTAAGCTTGGAGCCAAATTGTGAGAAGGAGCTGAAGTCCATTATTCTACATAGATGTTTCATCGAGCATCTCCTGCTTCTAAAGCCACTGACCACCATTCATCAGCCACCGTCAACCATTATTAGCTGCCCCTGCTTGTTACAACAATGTACAATAATGTACAAGGATGCACCTCAAATATGGTGTTATAACACACACTGAATACAGTCAAATGACGTGCCCCACATATAGTATAATGATGCACCCCAAAGATGGCGTAATAATACTCCCTGCGTATGTTGACTTTCTTGGACTACTAAAGTTTTCTCCTATGAATGTTATTGTAATTCACAACTATAACCTATATGACCAACTCTGATCTATGTGGTCCACAACTCATTGTGCACCCAAATCCAACTTATGTGGCCTACGTACATTATTACAGCTCGCTGTTACAATTAATGTGACCAATTATAACTTAGGTGGTTTACAGCTCATGTCGCTTCCAACTCTCCCCAGTGTAGACTATAAAATTTTGCTGCTCACAATTATGACCTATGTAACAAACTATCTACGTTATTACAACTCACCATTATGGCATGCTTGAGTAACTATGGCCTACGTTATGCACAAATCATGTTGCTCCTAACTCTGAACATTGCAGCTCAAGAAAGTTATCATGGCTCACCACTATAGCCCATGTGACCAACTACAATATATGTGGTCCAAATCTCATGCAGCTCCCAACTCTGACATCTGTTGCCTACATATATTATTGCTGCTCACCAATATAGCCCATGTGACCAACTACAACTTACATGGTTCATAACTCATGTCGTTCATTAATCTGGCCTCTACATCTTGCAAATTTTATTGCATCTCACTACTATGGCCTACGGAACAAACTATGACCTACATGGTCCACAACACATGCAACTCCCAACTTCACTTTACGACCTACAAACGTTAATGCAACTCACCACTGAGGCTTTTGTGACCAACTACGAACAATTTGTTCTACAACTCATACAGGTCCCAACTCTGGCCTTTACAGCCCGTGGATGTTTTTACAGCTTATCACTAAGGCTTACATGATTAAATATAACATATATGGTCCACAGCTCATGTCGGTCCCAACTCCAACCTTTGTGACTTATTGACATTATTTCAGCTTAATAATATACCCTACGTGAACAACTAAAGCCTATGTGGCTCACAACTCAAGTAGCACAGAACTCTGACCATTATGCCTATGGATGTTATCGCATCTCACCACTACGTCATATGTGATCAACTACAACCTATGTGGTTCACAGCTGCTGAAGCTTTCTACTGCATCCCTTGAGGCCAACCAATGCTTCTGAAGCAACCCTCTAAGTCATACATGGTCAAATACTACCACGACTTTCAACTACGACCTCTTTAATAAGTTTGTGCTACATTCACCGTCTACAACATTCATGGCGGGATACTATCTTTATAATGATTGATTATGATATTTGCGGCTAATTACAACTATTATTCTTGAAATAAAATTGTATATCAATATTGCAACTCTATTTTCCCTGACTCAGGAGGAGTGGATTTATGTACTTACAATTATATAGTAAATTATTTCAATTGGGAAAGGCTTCGTGAGTTTTTCCCCTTTCTAGAGGTTTTTATGTAAAAATTGAGGTGTCTCTTTCTGCTTGTTTCTCAATCTTTTGTATGTAATGAATTCTTTTACAGTGCTAAGATTCTAATTTATTACTCTATTGTTGCAAATCTTCCAAAGTACAGCAGTTACCATTATGAGGTGCAAACTATTAATTAATTATTTACTAGAGAAATAACATTACCAGCAATCTATAAATTGAGGAGGAGTCTGAATTTAATCTCTCACAGAAAATGTGTGTATGAGATGAGTTGATGAATTAAGTTGATTATAGGCCAAATTTTGACATAAGTTTCATTAAAATATGTGGATAAGCTTGGAATATTTTTCCTTGGTATTTTAATTGGAAATTTATACATATTTTTACAGAATTTGATGTTCAAAAAATCTCTTGCTAGATGATTTTAGCATGTGTGATAAGTGAAAGAATACAAAGATAGTTTACTCAAAATTTATAAAAACCTGTTACAGAAATGATAATCACAAAGTTCTTAAATATTTTTTTAAGAAGAAACTCACTTTTGATATAGAGATAAACATTAATAATAATATATTAGGCAAGAGAGAAGAAGGCATTGGCATGAAAAGAACAATCTCAAGAGAACAAGAGTTTCTTTATTAAATTGTTCTTCATGAACATTGTCATTCCTCTAAGGCTTACTGTGAAGCCAATTTAGCCATCATTAGAAAGAAACATTCATGAAGCAATGCGATTCAGAAGATTTAACTTGTCACACAAATTAAAGTTTTTTTTTTATTTTCATTTAATCTAACTTTTTCGCCAAATTATCTACATCCATATTAGTCAAAAGTAATAAAATCAATTGATTATCAGAAGGGGCTCCTTTCTTACTAATGAGGTACGAATATCATAAGGATAATTTTTTAGAAACTTCATGTTATTTAGCATTAAGAAATTTATGATAGTAAGGGGAGGTTTAGCCATTAGGAGCCTCATCATTTGGGATAAAATTTTCTGATGTATCTTGAACTAAATAAAATATTAAACCATTCTTAATAGGTATTTATCAACTTGGCTCTTAGTGTAAATTATTGGAGTTGTATCATCTTTTATTACAACTAAGATTGAACTGTATTTTTATCTCTTCTCTAAAATACTTTTTGTAATTTAAAGCATGGGATGAAACACTCAACAACAAATAAATTTTGTATCTTATATTGATTATCCATATTTTTATACTTAAATTCTTGAATGTAGTCATTTTTTTTAATTCTAAGCTAATTTTTTTTTTATATTTTTAAAATATTCATTTTTATTAAGTTGTTGATCATTAATGATTTATATTGATTGACAATAACATACACAAATTTCAATGTTCTACAAAAAAAATAAAGACTATGTATTGTTAAATAGCATGATCACAAAAATGAACCTTTCTTATAAGGAATAGAAATCTAACATGAAACTATAGGCCACTCCTTTCTAACATAAGAAAATGAAAATATTTTATGTAATGTCATTGAAAATTTTTTGATATAGTGTATCGTCTCAGAAAAATCCTAGTGTAATCATCCACTTGAGAGAGCTTAATGAGTATGTATTTATAATCCAAAAAACTAAGTTGATAATTACCAATCAAACAAAAGTTTGTAATGGCATTTCAAACAATATTAAGCCATCTTTTTATTAGAGAAAAATCTTATTGAAGTAAAAATATGATTTTAATCTCTCCATTGGTCAAAAGAGCCCTTTTTCCTTATAAAAATATAAGGAGGTATCGAAGTTAGATTTTGAAAGACTTGACGCACCAACAAACTCTAATCTAAAGGCACGTTCTCTTTGTAAAAGAAAGAGATTTTTAGTGTTGAGGGTTCTGTATGAGCCATAGATGAAATATGATATTTTCAATAGGAGGATTTCAATGTCATCAATTGAGATATAGGGGCATTGATGCATAAGAGCACTTATGCCAAGCATTGGGATAATCCATAGAAGACAAAATAATTGAATGAGTGATATGATCAGGGGAGAAAAAAGGAATAAATCAAAAGGGAGAACCCATAAAGACAACACAAGTTGTTAACATCAAACATCTAGTAGTAGTAGCCCTTTTCTAAAAGCCAGCCTAATTTCATAGACACATGTATAAATTAGAATGAAGAGAGTCGGGTCTTTTCTATCATTTACACAATATTATAAAATTTTTAGACAAAGTTAAAAAAAAAAACTGAAGTACGACTTTAATAAAATTCTTCACCTCTAGTTTTTCTCTCTTAAATTATTTTTCTTCCTATATCCTCCATATCTTTGGAACAATGGTTTTCCCCTTGGTAAAAAATAAATTTCCTTTTTTTTTTATTCTTAATTAATTTTGGAAGACAATAAATACATTAATTACTTTTCCAATAAATTAAAAATATAAGTCTTTTGACTAAAAAAACATTATTTAGTACAGCTTATTCACAGGTTTATATTGCCAATTTAGTTTTAAATCAGAAATCAAAGTTCAACATATCTAATAAAGAAATACCATGTCAATTTGTACTCTGAAGATCATAGAAATACTTTCAAAAAACACCAGTATAAATCAGGAGGTTGAGAGTACATTCGGTTCTTTTGTGTACTATCTGCTACCCACATATATGACACATGTAGCAGCTTAAAAATGGTATTTATGATTATAAAATGAATCTTCTTTGTAATCATTCCATTCACTAGTTGATAAGAAATGGACGGTCCTCAAGCTAGCAGTTAAGACAGGAAACTTCCGTATACCAATTCCATAAGGCAGAATTATCTATCATCCAATATAGCGTCCTAAAGTGGTTTACTACGCAGCTTCCACTCTGATAACCAACCCAAATTGAGACCAATATCCTCAGGACCTCAGCTGAGAAAAATGGCCAAAGTTAGTTGTTATTTCTCCATTAGCAAAACATTCCAAAAATCCGAAGTCACTCACATGTCAATTTCAAGCCAGCCATCTCAACCTTAAAAAACACAACTCGAAGTCTCGTCTTTCCCTGCAAGTCTCTTTTGGCTGCTGCTGCTGCTACTAGCTTAGATATGTATTCGAAAATATTTCCTTCGGAGATTCAAGCGAAGAAGGATGAAGAGGGACAGAGGAACAAGGTGGTTAAGAGATGGACGGTATGGAAGAAGTCAAGTATGTCTTTCGTAGGATCTGATGGCTTCTCTGTTTATGATGGAGAGGGGAAGCTAAGCTTTCGAGTGGACAACTATTCCAGGAGGAATAAGTTTCGTCTTGGAGAGCTTGTGCTTATGGATGCAATTGGAAGGCCACTGCTGTACCTCCGGCCTCAAGTATGTATACCTACAAATAGAACTTTTTCCTCTGCCTTTTTCTATCTGAATAAATCTCCCTCCCTCGCTCCCTGCCTCCCAAAGTCTTATTAAAATACATATGACATCCCATGAGTGGCCGTTCAGACCTGCAGATATACAAACATCCAATCGGACATAATATTTTTTCATGTTATATATATATATATATATATATATATATATATATATATACACTCTGATGTCCCGCCCTATGATGGAAGTCTGCATCATGTGCCTAAAATTTCATAGCCCCATAAGAGGACTTACAATAGTAATTAATAAACTAAAAATATTTATAATGTCAATTTGAATTATTCTTACCAGAAGGCTTGCTCTATGTATAACTTCCACACAGATTATGAGCATGTATGCCCAGTGGAAAGGATACAGAGGATCTGACGAAGACAACTCAAAAACAAGCTCCAAATATCACCTCTTCACCATGAGAAAGCGTTCAATTGCTCCCAACAGCGATGTTCTCGTCGAAGTCTTCATGTCTGACAATGGTGCCATGTCTGCAGACTTTACAATAGAAGGAAACTTCAGGAAGAGATGCTGCAAAATTCGTGCCAGAGAAGGACAAGTATTGGCTGTTATCTCACCGAAGATGGTCAGCCCAACATTGGTGCTTGGCAATGACGTCTTCAGCCTCTTCATAGAGGAGCAAGTCGGGCCTGAGCTGGTGATGGCTCTCATCGTTATCATGGATCGCATTTGTTAAATGGATGCATGCACGCCCATACCATCTCAGTGCCACGTGGACAGCTCTATAGAGTAGGGTTGTGTCATTCTATTTGATTGAGGTCATAACTTACAGCCGTAGGACAGGAAAAGATATTACATCTGTACTCTCGCATGCATGCAGAGCTGTTTGCGGAGTTTAATGTCGAGCCGACACGTGGAAAGTAGGGGCCCACCTGCATAAAAAATGAAAAAAAGAATGAAAATGCGCGACTCGGCCCCACTGATGTGTTATAGGAATATTATATCGCATATGAATGTTCTCTCGCGTTATTTTGAATATTTTTTGTGTTATTCATGTGTTATTGATGTGTTATTGAGGTGATCCAACTAAATGACAAGATAAAAACTTTTACTGTTGTGTTATTAATATGTTATGGAAGTGATTTTGAATTAGTATTGTTGTTTAAAGAACAATAACATCTCAAATCATCTAATGTTATTAGAGTGTTATTCATGTGTTATTGATGTGTTATTGAAATAATATTTTCCTCGTTATTCATGTGGTATTGTTATTGTTGTTTAAAAAATAATAACATCTCAAAATCACCTCAATAACACACCAATAAGACATAAATAACGCGGAAAATATTCAGAATAACGCGAGGGAATATTCTTATAACACGGTCGGGTCGGGTCGCGCGTTTTCGTTCTTTGTTTCGTTTTTTATGTAGGTGGGCCCCGATCTTCCATGTGTCAGTTCGATATTAGACTTCGCAAGTAACTCTACATGCGAAGTTCTGATGTAATATTTTTTCGTAGGACAGGCAAATGTACAATGAGTACAATGGTTTAAGAAAAATAGAGTTCATAGTTTTATCTAATTTAGGAGAAAATATTTTATCGGGATTTTTGTACGTGATTAAAATGTAAGACTGATGATTTGCCTAATAGTTATATCGACCAATTATATTCTACTTTTCCTAATCATAATTTTATTTTATACTCTTTGTTCCTCTATCCCTTCTTGAGCTAAGAATTTTAACAACAAAGATTATTTGCAATTAAGTCTAACCCTTAATGTAAGCCAAAATAGTTTTTCAAACTCTAAGGACTTAATGGAAATGTTTAATGTTTGAGATTATTTTTAAATGATTTATGAAAGTATAGCATCTTTCCATAAATGTCAAAGTTATAAAAGATCAACTATACATCATTATTTTATAAATATTTTTTTTAATCTTGCTTCTAGATTGGTTAACCACCTCTCGTATGCTCTAGCACTATGCTAACCTAAACAAAATCTTAAGAGACTGCAATTATTAGCTAAAGTTCAAAGTGAAAAGCATAGATTGTAACATTTGTCTTTCTCATAGAACTGTTGGTGAAAAATTAATGAGCTATAACGGCGAACTTGGTGAAGTCCAACATATTTAGACAGATTAACCGTAAAATAAAATAAAAATATACCATATGTAAATTGTACATCAAAAATGACTTAGCACAAATCTCGAGGAAATTTAATGAACTAAAAGATAGAAGTACGGTCAAAGATAGCCCACAAAAAGAAAACCAAAAGTCACATCGTCGGAAGACCAAAGACTTGGGTCAGGACCTGAAGTCAGCTAAACTAAGGTCATCCAAGCCAAAGACTAAGATCCATTGAGTCGAGAGAAGACATCGACCAAACCCTCACCCCGACATCATCAGTCGTTTCCTAAGAGCCTCCAAGGCTCTTTAAGAGGCCAAAAGTTTCTCGCCATGATACCCTCCGCAAACTCCCGAAAGGGAACTTTTATCAAGGCATAAGCTACTTATCAGATTCTGGGGATTCACTCTTTGCCCTACAACCTAGTCTCATCATAGCGACAGGAGCTCCTAATCTAGGAGTTGCAACCGAAAACTGGACAAAAATAGTTGATTGATTGAATCAAGCTAACTGAACAAAGTCTGGATGACTGAAGGTCAACCAAAATCAACCGACATCCCCAACTCAACAACTTAATCGAACAAGCTTTGTCTATCCACGAACCACCAATATTAGTCTCTCGAGTGATAGGGTAACCAATCCATAGGTTTTAAAGGTGTTTGCATTTCTCTGTATCCTAGTCTTGGTCCTAGTGGTGCTTGCAGTACTTCCTTATATCTTGAAGAAAGGCTATAGTCCTCATCGGCGGTGCCTGTTTGAAGTACTCTTTATCTTGGATGACATCCACAATCTTCGTTGTCGATACTCTCAATGGAGTGGCTCAAGGTCCCTTGTACTCATCGAACGATTATTCATAATGTTCGATCAACCTCTCATAATATTGAGTCAGTCAATATTCCTGACTCCTTATCTGACATTCCTGATTGTTACACTTGTTAGACTCCCTATTTTCTCGAGCAGTTCAGTTGTCTTCATAACTTGGTCACAAGGACAGTCTTGGATCGTCTCTTGATTTCCACTCGCCACTTTGTGGGCCTCTCTTCTGGACTCGATGGTCTGTCAGCTTTGATTGGGGGATGCTTTTCTCGACGATGAAGTGCTTGTTATCCATTTCCAGCAACTTAGCCAAATCCTGGGGCTTGTACAAACCGAGGTTGTAATGACGCCTATCGGATGTCAGGCTCCACTTCAGTGCGGCTTGTGCCATGTTGGTTCAGAGGTCCTTCACATCCATCATCGCCCTTTCGAATTGCAGGATGTAGGAATGCAATATCTTGCTTGGTTCTATTTTAATTGCCACAAGGACTGCATGCTCTTCTTGAGTGCCCGGGCACTTGCAAACTACACCAATAAAATTCTACGGAAGTCCGAAAAGATGCTAATGCTACAATCGGAACCGATTTGAACCACCTCAAGGCTGATGAATTCAAGGTGGTAAAGAACAGACGACATTTGAATTCATCTATAACTTTCAACAGACACATTACAAATTCATATGAGGCAATGTGGTCATTAGGATCCGACAGACCTCGATATGCCTCCAACATAGGGAGCTTGAACTTCTTTGGAGGCTCAGCCCCCGAGATATGAAAGGAGAAGGGATTCTCTGGCTGATGTGGTGCCTCAATGCGCCCAAATCTTTGTTTATCCACTTGCGAAGATCCAACACTGTCTTCATACTGTGAATCTTTGGCTCTCTCAAGACCATTGTTCAACCTTTTTGTCGTTGTGCGCCAGCACTATCTGATTTAGAGGGTTCTGTCCTTGAGGAGCCCAATCTCCTATAATGGCCACGACGACCCTCAAGACATATGTGACCTGGCTCAACACAAAATTCAATATCTGCGTTCTCAACTCTTGCATTTCTTGTTGCATGAACTCCTCCATGTCTTCTCTTTCATGCTCTGTGTTACTTATGTCTCTCTAAAGACTCACTTCTCGTTGTGACCATTGCACTCCTTTTTCTTGTCAACAACAAGACTCCAAGGTCACTACAACTTTTAGGATGTTGAATTCAAATCTGTCTGTAAGACACACCTAAAGAATAAAGTACGAAAAGAGGGAAAAGAGTAGAGAGAGAACTGTAATGAACAGTAAAATTGTGTAATAGTTATTCATGAAATGAGCCATTTTTTATAGGAATAGGGATTGTAAGATTACATTTTGTACCCCTAGTAAAGTAAGTATGGCATGGGATATTTTCTTTCATACATAATCATATGGTCGAGGTATGTGGCCGTATTTTGATCCATGGGGCCATGCATTGGGAGTTGGAGAGAATGACCTGTCGGGTCATGACACAGGCGGCTATGGCCGAAGAATGGACCGGGAGATCTCGACCGACTAGTTGAGATCCAGACGGTTCTGATCATCTGTCAAACCTAGTTAAGAAATGTCGTCTGATTTGTCCCCGTGAAATTAGTACCAATAGCACTTTGAGAGGATGGTCGAGTTTCGTCCGACTCAGAGTTATTTTTCTGCCGGCCAGCTAGAGCCGGCTGGGTAAATATGTGCCCCCGAAATGTCTCTATTGGGTTCAGAACCGTCACGTTATCTTCTCTATCGGCTGTCAAATTTCTTTTAGATTCATGTTGGCATATTTTTCATGTACAATAGTATTATTGTTTGAGTGTGGTGTATTAAAATAATATAATTATTTGTTCATATTTATATTGTTTTGGAATGTTTACTATTACAATAATTTTACATGAAAAAAAGTAGAAGTTGGTACCATCCAATCTGAAAATTAGTAGAAACAAAAAACAAAAAATAATAATAATAATAATAATAAACATAATATAGTTGTCTGTTAAGATAAGCTCTTAACTTCTTTAATTTGCAAGATAAAACACATAAAAATGGGCCATAACTCATAATTGATAAAATTGGGTTATTACAACATGATCTCACCAAGGGTGTCCTTTGAGACTTAGAGCATCATTATATGGAGATGGTCAAACATTTGAAAGAAGTGGGAAATTTTGCATCTATGTTTTGGCATGATAAAGCTAGTAACAAACAAGCAATTTGTAGTTGAGCTGCCCACCAAATAGAAGACATCATGATAAAACCTGTAGATTGTTTTTCAAAATAAATTAACAAAATACTTAGGACTCTTGCTGGGAAAGAATTTGTTGGCTTTGTAAGAACTCAATTTCTTAATTTCTCTTTTTTAGATTAAATGAGCATTGTTAGTTACAATTATTAGTGTTGATATTGGAAGTAGAGTTCTGGAGATTAACTTTATAATTATTATGGTCGTAACCTAAGATGATGTAAATCATCAATATAAATCAATTAAATGCATATTAGAAGTTCAGAAATAGCTACATGTTATAGAAGATGTTATATGTTCGCAAACTAGAGAAGCTATCAATCATATTCACATATAGAAGCTTTCTCGGACAGCACCTATAATCACATTCATGCTCATTTTTTACTTTTGTGAGTTTTAAGTAATTTCTTCGGCGGCCTGAAGCTACCTAAGAGAATTTCGGGTTGAAATAAAAACTAATAATAGAACATGAGTTGTTGTTGCATGTTTTCATCAAGGGTCTCTTTGAAGAGTCGGGGCATCTTTGTGTAGATTTTCACACGTTTGAAGGAAGTTGGAAGCTTTACATTAATGTCTTCGCATTGATAGGACAAAAAACAAATAAGTGACATCTATTTAGGTTACTAATCAAAATGGATGGTATCGTGAAAAAACATTTTGATAATTTTTCAAAATAGATTAACAAAAGCTTAGAGGAAAAAGATGATTTATTTCTTCTTCATGATGTTCAAGAGAGCAAATTAGAGATAATATTTTAGGATCCGCTGATGAAAAATTTCAATAAAAAGCCGAACACATCGAGCTTTTTTGTATTCTTCTGATAGAAGTAATGTGACATAAAAAAACCTATTCGAAGGTAAAAAGAATTAGTATTTTGCATCAATTTCTTTTTCATTGTGCTATTGAAGTTGAACATCAAAACAAAATCTCTAGTATGATACCTATCTAAGCAACTTCCATCTTCAATTCCTATTCTCATTATCTGTGTGAGGTTTGTATTTGTATTTGATTGTCCCGTAGCAGTTCATTATTCTGTGGCATTCATTTACATAATATTTCTTTGATGAGTTCAGCTTATATGTATTGTATTGGTCGATGTTATTGTCATTACAACTTAACATCCGTAGGCATCACACATTTTTTTCCTTCACATACATATGACATCTAGTTACATACCACACAATTCTTATAAATTTACATAACATCGTATCTTCCCTTTCCATTCTCGTCATCAAAAAACTCAGATATAGTCAAGACATGAGCTAGATAGGAAGACAACGACGAAAACACGACATACAAATACCAACAAAACTTCCATCTTTCTCCTCTTACTACTTCAAGTGTTCTACGTCTTCGCGTGAGGTATCACGACTCCTACTTCATGCATTCCGGAATTCACTAGATCCACCAAATAACCAGATTTAATAAATATGGGATTTACCTCTAAAATAATCAAAGTTTGGATTTAGTAAACATAGAGATTTTAAATGTCTAAAATAACCATATAAGAGAATTTGAATTAAATCCCGCTTAAATCCTCTCTTAAATTCAATAGCAGGCCCCCTAGGTGAAGGTGAGAAAGAAAAATGCACTAAAATATTTCAGTGTTAAAATTAATTGATGAGTATAATAATTCAGAACAAACAAAAAATTTCTTCAAATTAAAAGAGAAACTAATGTAAATACTATTATTATTATTATTATTATTAAATTGAAAATTTTAAATGCTTCTCAAAAATATTAAAAATATGATATTCTAATCAAGGTTGTTAATACTGGACCAGAACGGCTGGTCGGACTACTCGGACTGTGAACCGGTAGGGAAGCCGGTCTAGACGCTAGAGGTATCCTGATTTTGAATAACTAGAATTGGATCGACGAAAACTGAGGTAGAACTGGCCGATCGTTAAACCGATCGCAATTTTTAGTTACTAGTTAATTTTATTATTATTATTATGATTATTATTTTGAGAGAGAGCATTGTCTTCTTTTCTATGAATGATTTGATAGAAGAAATGAATATGAAAGTTATTTTATATTTTTGTTTAAAACTGTAATATATGTTTGTTTGGGTTGATCAATAAAGCTAATATTTACTTTATCTTATTTGATTTATTATACAAAAGAATGCGACTAATTTATATAGATAAAGTTTTGTGATTAAAATGAATTTGTGCTTTAAAGAAAAATAAAGTTTTGCTTTATCTTCCTTCTTGAGTACTCATATTTGATATTACAAGAGGCATGTAGAGAAGAGGTTGTGATGGTGGCTTTTTTAAGTTTCGTTAGGTTTTTAATTAATCTTAATTTTCTCCCATCAACATTTTACTTTTAGAACTATGAACATTTTACTTCCTCCCATCAAGATATTATAAGAGGCATGTAGAGAAGAGGTCAAACCAATGAACTATGAACATTTTCTTCATCCAATTTGATGTCTGGTTTGGTTTTCACAACTTTAATGCTAATAATGTAAATCAAACAAACATAAATATAAAATTTAATTTGTATGACAATGAATTATATTTTTCTCAAAAAAAAAATAAAATATATTATCAAGAATAATTTTTATACGTATGTTTTTCACTTTATTATTTCTCATAATCATCATTATTTCACTTTTCTCCTGACAAATAGCTTATACGTATGTTTTTTATTAATAACTTGGGTGTTAGATATATAAATATAACAGAATTGTGTGGTATGTAACAACCGAAGTCTACCATGTGTACAAGAGCTTCTTCTTGATGGATTGAAGCTGATTTCTCCTCCCATTTCTGTTTTCTACTTTGTTTTTCCTTGTCTTCATGGTGTTATAGCAGGCCATGTGATTCAGTGCTGAATGTCTCTACGGAGAAGCAGATCTCATTTGGCTCACTTGCATATGACAGGAAAAGGAGCATTCTACACATTCCCTGAGGTGCCTTCACTGCTTATCTCTCTTTTAACATGGAGGATTCGACAGCCTCTAATCCATTTTATCTTTCTTCTCAACATCAATGAACCTCCCATTTTAAAGTTTCTGATTTCTCACATGAAACGATTGGCTCAAAACCAATTGACAACTGAAAACTATCATATTTGAAGGACTCAAATGTTGACGATCTTCACTGCTAACGATTTTCTTGGATTACTGGACGGCACTCTAATCCGACCGCAGCAATACGCATCAGAAAACAGCAATCCCATAGTTACCAACATTGAATTATAAGCATGGATTCACATCGATCAAAATGTATCGGCAGACGTGTACCCTATCAGCGGCTATATTGTTGTATGTCCTCCACCTATAAACTTCAGCCGAAATTTAGAATGCCATCAGGAGGAGGCTTCAACCCACAAATAAGTCTTGGGTGATTCAATTAAAAAGTAAGCTCCACCACATCATGATGAAGAACAATATGATGACTCAATACCTCTCGGACATTATGGCACTTGTGCACAATATTTCAACTGTTGGATCTTATCCGTACGCAATTGCAAGTCATCAGACCGGACGGCTTACATTCGTTGCTATGCAGCAAGGAGATTAATATTATCACAGAAAATGCTAAACACAACATGGCACTTGATTCGCACCTAGCTCTAGTTGCTTCCCAGGGGTAAAACAATTTCTACTTCAAGCGCATAGGTTGTGGCACATCAAATGGTAGACGATGAAAGCTGGTTAATCGATTCCAAGAGAAACAACTGTATTAAATCTATAATAAAGTGGGTCACTCCGCCACAATTTTTTGGCACCGGATAAATCTGGAATACTCTCCCCCCACCTCTACTAATGCTCATACAGCTCAACTATAGGACTGGGTTATGGATTTCAGTGCTGCTGCTCATCTGACATCCGATTTTACTCAACTTCAGGAACCAAAATCTTCCTTTGGCAATGAACAAATCGTATGCAAATTTCTCATTATATATTCTCGACTATATATGCCTCATAATTTGTAATATGCTTGAAAGTTTCTTTTGAATGAAATTAACCTCAATATGAGATAATCTCTCGTATTGATGAAGTTTAAATTCTCCTAAATTGGCTTGAACTCAATACAAATTAGTTTGCATGAAATAATCTAGCCACAGTCGACCCACTTTTGAGGAAATAAGGAAGGCATCAATTGGGCCGACGACTATTGTAGGGGCAGAGCACTTCGTCACAGACCTCATTGGTAGCACTTGTTGATGGAATGGATAGCATGTGAAAAAAAAAAGAGGGGTTCATGACAAAAACTCGCTATGGTCGGATTAGTGGCATGTAAAAGAGAAAAAGGAGTGCAATGAGATCTCTTTGGGGGAAGGCGTCTATTTTATGAACCAATCCAAAAACTTTTAAAAAGAAATTTCTAAATAAAAAAAAGGTCAATTGTACATTTTCTAGCTACAACATAGTAAAAAAAGCTCCAAAAATGACGATTTCAAATAGTATCTGTACTAAAAAAAAGTTCACTGCAACAACCTCTTCAGAATTCATGGAACTAAACAAAGCAATTATTCAACAGCTATTAGCCTCTTAATTGTTTAACCAGACATTGATTCCTTGAATGAAAACCCTGCCCTTTGGCAAGGTTTCCCCATACGATTAAGCACTATCAGATTCTATGAATCTTCAGAGAAAATAGCTAGGTGAAATCATTTACATCCAACCCACAACTGATACTACTAAACTCATAAAACCACACATAAATAAAGCAACAAACAAGTAAAGCAAACTGTATGTACATGAGCAGCCTTCATCTCACCTGGCATGCAGGAATTGCACCAGGGGAAGAGCATTTTGCTGTCGGAATTGGTCGACAGCCCATACTAGCAGCTGTGAGTCGACGATGCATCCGTTGGTCAGGGATGCTGTTAAGCACACCGGTCTCCTGCAGAGGTTCCAATGTCTCCACAACATCGGTCATTAAAGGCCTTGCCTTTGGATTCTGGCTCAGGCAATAGTAAGCCAAGCTGCAGGCCTTTTGCGCAGCTCTAACTGAATATTGTCCATCCAACCGTGGATCGATTATCTGGAGTAGCTTCCTCTTGTCGTTGAGTTTTGGACGGACCCAGTCGACGAGGCTCTGTTCCTTGCAAGGCCGGGTCTTGTCAATTGACTTGCGACCAGTTAAGAGCTCGAGGAGGACAACCCCAAAGCTATAGACATCACTCCTTACAGTCAAATGGCCTGTTTGTAATAAGACCACAAGTGTTGCATACCAGTAACATTCAAAACTCTTTATCTTTGGTAGGCTAACTATGGGAACAAGGTCCCAAGTTTTTATTTTTATTTTTATTTCTCCTTTTCTCTCTTTCTTTTGTGCGTTTCAGGCCACTTCCTTTAGAGGGAAGAGCAATAATTTTAAGGGATAATTACATACATATCACTCAAAATATTGTTATTTACAAAAATAACACTCAAAGCTATCATTTTGAACTACCAAACTTATGCATTTAAGCGTGCCAAGCCATAGAGAATTTAATAGAAAGGAAAAAATATGGGTTGAGATTTTATCATAAATTTTGATATTTCAGCGAGAATTCAAAAAATGGATAAAAGAGAGTGCTATGTATGTAATTTTAAATCACATGCATAAGCACAAAAACACGACAAAAAAACAGGGATGGTGGAAGAATAGAGTGATTGCCTTTATTACTCTTTCTAGAATATGTGTGAATATCTTTCTACAGTGCGAATGTTATATAATTACAGCACAAATATAATTAGATGCAGAAATTGCCCATCTGTAGTTATATAAAGCACTGTTGTTTGCACAATTCTTGCGAATGTGTGGTTCAAATACCAGCATTATATACTTGCACAGTACACATACATATTAATTATTAAAAAACTTCCATTTTTCACATTTATTCTATGGGAAAAAGTAGTTTATTCTATGGGAAAAAACTTCCATTTTTCACATTTATCTTACGTATTATGCTCTCTTTTTTATGATAAATACTCCATTATGTCTAATTTTGTCATTTCAACAAGAAATATTGGCTACAATGTTAAACTTTAATTAAATCTTATTTTTTAAAATTTCAAATTGTATAATAAAATTCATATAATACATGTGCGAAGCAAATGCCCATGGGTGTTCTAAGTGGTGTTTAGGAGTTTAGTATTATGGAGAAATGAACAAGAAGGCACAGTAAACCCAATGGAGATCTCATGATTCCATCATCCTACATCGACCTAAAAGACTAGCAAAGATGGAGGGCTATGAGGCCACATCATCCAGGACGTTCAATTAGTAACCATAGATTGCCACCTTTTAGATATCTCAATTTATACAAGGTGGTAGGACATTAACCTACACATAGTAAGGTTTAGAAACTCGAATTGAATCAAATAGGCCCTACGGAAATAGTATGGCAAATAATGGTTCCAAGGTGGTAGCATGTTACCACTAGAGGTTCTCCGGCTGGGGGTTATAACTAATCCATCTTCAAATAAGTTCATGTGGGACAAGTACGATTATAAGTGTTTATATGAAACTCTCTCTTGCTTAGAGGTGTGACATGGCAAAATCAATGATCCAAGGTTGAACCCTTAGTTCTAGCTTGAGATGGAAATACCTACATATGAATTATCAAGTGTTGCAAAAGACCATTTGAAATTATAAATTATATCGAGCACTTGATTCAAAGGAGGTCCTTTGATTCCTTTCCATTAAGATTAGCATCAACATGATAAATAGTATATTTTCATATCCACGAGTTGCCTCAAGACGAAGCCCTTCATTATCCCATGTTTTGTAGACTCAAACAGGTGACTCAAGCACAAGGTTAAAGAATTTATTGTCAGTTCTAGTGAGAAAATGGTTCATACAAGAATCTTGGGATTGGTATAGGCTTATAAATCTTAAAATAGAGTGGCCTAGGATTAGGGCTTAAAACCCTTAATTTCTAATAAGCATAAGGAAGCAAACTACAACACTTGTGTGGGGAATCCAGAAGATGTGAACACGAAACCTACTGAATAAGGTCTGATTGCCAACAATTCGATCAGGTTGGATATTAAAATCTCAGAGCAATGAAGGCTTGAAAGGTAAGACTTTATAATCACATGGCAAGGAAAGATCAACAGATGGGGCTTAAAACCAAAGCAAGTTTAAATGTGGTACTTATAGGGACATTGATTCGAGGTGGCTGTGAAACATTGTAATTTTAAGGAATCCTGGCGGCCACCTGCAGATGAATATGTTAAATATTTCGACAAAACTTGAGTAAGGCCATAAGGTCTTATGGAATGTTGTACCAATAAAAACATTCAACATCTAAGGTCATTGATAACCGCTCAATGAGACTGAGATTGGATAGCCTCCTCAAAGTGAGGTCCTCCTCTAGTTAATCTATCAAAAATAAGTTATGCATGCATTTCAAAATGTGGTCAATGTGCCCGAGCAAATTTGGAAATGTCAACATGAGCAAATTTGAATACACCCAATCCCCAGTATATGCTCAAGGAGCGCAGGGTCCAATTTAGAAATCTTATAATATCTAAAATATTATATAAATGTTTGAACTCTAGGAGGTATGGACTCGATTTGAACTAACTATGGGATATACCAAAACAAATTTGAGTTTCTACACCGTTCTTATAATGCAAAAGGCTCCCTCAATTTTAAGCTTTTATCGGATGATATATAGAATATTTAATGTTTTTTTTACCCTAAAGAGATTTTTGGTAATGTTACTAAGTTATGAATTGCACCAGAATAAAATAAAAGTATCATACCTTACATCTTAACTGAAAAGGAGGTCAACCTCAAGTTTCATAATTGTCAGGAATGTGGAATTTTATGAAATTTTTAAGCCACTATTTTGATAAATTTATGATGAAACAAAAATATATCATAAGCTTCATGATTCCTGAAAAAGGCTAACAAAAATTTACACAAATACTGATGAAACAAAGATATTAAGGACATTTCAATCATTTTTACAGAGTTATGAGACCACCGTGGTGAAACCAATGAAACGTACTCTACATCTAACAGCAAAGGTCTCCCAAAATTTCACAATGTTGGATACACCAATAATAATTTATCATTTTTTTAAATATCAATGATATTTTAAAAATTTTACCTACTTGCAGGGCCCACTAGCATGATCCGAGAATTCAAAGCTCTTCGCCGACCTGTGATGAGGGACTCCTGTTTCATAATGCTTGGAGCACATCACAACACCTCAAAAAATTTTTAAAGTTTCATGCATTAAGGTCAATCGAACGCACAGACATATTTCGATGCATGAGCTGGCGGCTCAACGCTGCCTTGAGTTACAAAAACTAATCCTAAAGATTCGATGTGATCCGATGGTCATCGATGATGCAATGAGCTGCCCTCAAATTGAGTGTAAGAAATTGACATAATGTTTGCCCAAATCACAATAATTTCTATTCCATTGCATAGATTGTAATTATTCAACGGTGCCAATGGATATATTGCATTTTTGGGACAACTTACAATCTTTAATGATTTTTTTCAAAATAAACCTAACTTCAAAAATGTAAAATAAGATTCAAATTTAAAAACCAAATGGAAAAACTTAATCTAATAATCCACATGGCAGCATCATTACTGTCCAATTCCACATGGCAGCATCATTACTGTCCAATCCACATGGCAGCATCATTTCACCCAGCGAGCCACCATATAGCGGCCATTCCTCAAGTAACAATGCATGTTCCATGAACAATGAAAACTCAAGTACAGTCATGGGTGTAATATCTCAAATTTCCTAAGGCATGGAGATATAAGGCGATGGCTTGGCTCAACAGAGAGCACAACCTGAGTATAAAGGCATTGAGTTTAGTGTTGGGAGTGAAGCAAAAAATCAAGAGGGGGATAAATTAGAGAACTGATTCCTATCCTCCTAAAAAATAAAAGTAAAAAAAAAAACTAGGCTTTTAGGTGGTGGTAAGGAAAAATTTATATAAAGTATTACTAGTCTTAGGTGACAGTAGATTTACAAGGCATTAAGTTAAAAAAAAAATAAGCATTCATAACTAGAAAATTATATTGATCATTTCTAATGTACAAAAGGGACTTAAAATTTAAGACAAAATAGTTCAGTATATTATCAGAGAAAGGTCTAAAAACTAATGCCATAAAGAACAAGCCATACCAGTCATGACATATTCTGGAGCAGCATATCCATAAGTGCCCATAACCCGTGTTGAGACATGAGTTTCATCACCCTGAGGTCCTGCTTTTGCAAGGCCAAAATCACATAGCTTGGCTGTATAATCCTGAAAAATAAAAAAGAGTTAAGAAGATTATAATATATATATATATATATATATATATATAGAGAGAGAGAGAGAGGTGTCAAAATAATCTCCCGACTCTTTACAGGGGGTTATTTTAGTCCAACTAATTTGACACTATACTATAAATACACACACACACACAAGCACACACATTTGTATGTCATAGAGTGAACTTAGGGTGAACTTAACTGAGTCCAATAATATGTTTGATGTCTTAAAATCGCGGTAAATAACAGGTTTTTCTGCATTGTGAAGAAAAGCCAGGCCCTTCGCAGCGCCATATGCAATCATCATCCTTTCTGCCCAAGGTAATGGAGCAGTTGTCTCTGAAAGCCTCAAGAAAGTAAAGCCAGCTTAGGAAAAAAAGATGACGATATTATTCAACAAAAACAAACAGGGCCCGGAATAAAGAATCAAGTAACTGCTTAAGATAATAAGATCTTATTATTAAGATGAAAAATGAGTTGAAATAAAATGCCGAATCATTGTCTAACATTATTTTTAAGAAAAAAATTGCTTTTTACAGATATACACGAGCTCATACTGCACAACTGACTTTGATTGCTTGCTTCTGATGCTCTTGTTTGTCTGCATGGTGCTCGCTATGTCGCTGAACGTGTTAATGGCTTAATGTTGTGAAAATTTACTTATTGAATTGTTGCCTTACTATTCAAGACAGAAAAGGATGAAAATATGATGATGATGATGACATAGAAATTCTTAGGCATTTATATAAATTCATGAAGGGTGGGTAGAGGAAACTAAAGAAAATTGCAGTTAGTACAGATTTTGAGCCTATTCTATGTCTCCTAATTACTCACCTTTTTATTTAAACATTGTTAGATAATTTTTATTTTCCTTTCAATTGACTGTTTGATAAATCCATCTCATTATATTATTTGTTTAATCTAGCTCTGCAGACTTCAAAGTTCTAGACTTAGGCTATAATCATTTCCTTTTAGAATTAATTACTCTAATGTTCCTGTCGGTCAAATTTTCGTTAAATAGATTTGAAAATATGAATATGAAAATAATTTTTGAGATTTAATTTAAATATAAAAGATATATAGTTTGAGTTTTAAAAGGACAATGTTTTAATTTTTGAAAAATGAGACCAAATGGATCTCATCTGTCTAATAGTTTGCATATCGTGTCTGATACCGCGAATACTACATCCTACCGAAAGATAAGTGTAGACCTCAGCGATAGACCCAATTTTGCAAACTAAGAGATTTGTGACATCTGTTTGGTCTGCGAACCTTTTATGTATGACCGACAAGTTCCCCTATTTAATACAAAGATTAAATAGAGTTTATTTTACCTGGGTTCCAAGTTCCCTATAGAGGCAAGTCCCTATAGTTAATTACATCTCAAATGACGGGAGTCACTTGAGAAAACTCTCGATAATGATCAATGGTTCGTCTTCAAGAATTCAAGGTTCAGATTTTCAAGGTAGGACGTGAAAAAAATAAGTGGGAGTGGCTCAAGTAGGAACTGTTCTTTCAGGAGTTCAAAGAAAAGAATGGAAGTAAAAGGTAGGGGATGTCACAGATCTTGAGGAGGAACCTCAATGACTTCCCAAATTATTCTACTATACGGTTACATTTTAGAGAAGATGTTATTTGAATGTTCAATCCTGTCAATTTTATTATTTGGGACTTACGAATGCATAATACTCGATTATGCAAATAGCCCGAAGAAATAAGAGGGTTTACGTCGTGTCACACGACAACCTCGGAACCTAAGGCGGGTTAGGACTTACGCTGCACAACATGGTTGTACAGGAGCCTAAAAAGAGAGTGTGAGGATTTACGTCGCGCTAGGCGAGCTATCTCGAACTTGTCGTCGCAATGGCTCTAGGGTTTAAGTGTTTGAAAATTGTAGTTTATGTTTCACAGTTTTAGTGTCAATGTTTGGTTTCGTTTTGTTTCAATTTTGGTTTTGCATGCAGAGTAGTTAAATTGCAGGTAAATAAAAGGTACTTGAAAGGTAAAATGCAGTAACGTAAAATGCTGTAGATAAACTGTAAAAGCGTACCTGGGCATCTGCTACTGTTGCGTTATTAATGTTGCGAGCATAATATGATTTGCAGCAGATTTAAATAAACTTGCAAGAAAATTAAACAATGCGAGAAAACCCAACGCGAAAGTCAGAAAAATGAGTTGTAAAAATCACAAGCAAAAGAAACATTTAGCCACATATGAAAGATCAGGACTGAGTATAAGACATTGGTAAAAGTGGAGGCTCAGAGCTGGGCTGTGTACTTCCCGACCTTGAGTAAGAGTTGCCAACTCGACAATCTACAGGAGGTAGTTCTTAACTTCAATCCAAATGACTAACAATGGACTTTTATAAATTTTTATAGAAAAATTATTTGATTTTCATGCAAAAGCTGTTGTTTAAGTCTTTTTTATGCATAGTTCTTTTTAACATGCAAAAGGGATTTTTATTTTATTTTTGTAAATAGTTTTTGTAAAGTCGTGTAGTCCACAGGTTAGTCACTCTAATCGTGCTAGAACTACTGACAACCTAAGAGCATCGGGGCAACAATCCCACCAAGGGTCGATGAATAACATCATCGATCTTTTCCTCTCTCTTATAGAAGGTCATTGAGGTAGGAGATAATATTCTAATAATTCCACTTCGTATCACTTGTTTAAGCACACATAAGCAATGTCGTCATCGCCCTCGCCACCCAGACCCTAGACTTATCATAGTCCGAATAGTCCGATGATCCATATTCCATATGCGGCGTTAAGAAATTTCCCCGATTGCTTGTAGGAGGATTTGAGTGTAATATTCAAGCTCAAATCCCGGTGCACTGGGTTTCATTGTTGGTTAAGTCATTGCGGGAATTTCACTGTTGATTTAATTAAGGAAGCATGAACTACATTTCGGTGCATCTTGGTGTCTAGTGTCTTGATCAGTTTGTGAATCAGGGTCAACTGTCAAGTTTCATTGTGCATTCGAGGATTAGGTGAATAGACTCTTACCTAAGGTATGTTCATGAAACTTTGGGTGGTTACACTGCAGAGATTAGGTAGATGGGCTCTCGCCTAAGGTATGCTCCTAAAGACTAGAAAATCTATGTTGAGAATTAGGTGGATGTACTCTCACCTAGGGTGTGCTCTTAAAATCTAGGAAGCCTATGCTGAGGATCAGGTGGATGGACTCTCACCTAGGTTGTGTTCCTAAAAACTAGGAAGTCTATGCTGAGGGCTAGGTGGATGGAATCTAGGGTGTGCTCTTAAAATCTAGAAAGTCTGTGCTGAGAATTAGATGAATAGATTCTCACCTAGGGTGTGCTTATAAAGTCTAGGAAGACTATGCTGAGGATTAGGTGGATGGACTCTCACCTAGGGTGTGCTCCTAAAATCTAGGAAGCCTACATTGAGGGCTAGGTGAATGGACTCTCACCTAGGGTGTGCTCCTAAAACTCTAGGAACCCTATACTTTAGCTTGTGCCTAAAATAATGTTCTACCTCCAATTAAGTGTTTTCCAAGTAATTAAATCAGAAATTCTCATTTTTTGACTTGACCATTTAAAAACAAATAAAAAAAAAGAAGGATAAGACAAGTCCCACTTCCAAAACTAGTAAAGTCAAGGGGGAAAATAACGAGTAGATCAACCTAAAAGCGTTTAAATAACAATCAATTGAAACCCAAAACAGTGGGCAAAAAGGGGTCCGTAAAATCAATTCTAAACCGCATGTAAATCAACACTTAAAGGCTACATAAATCTCGCCAAAATAGTGTATAGATTGCCTCCAAATTAGCCCACCAAAATGCCTCAAAACATTGATTAAAACAACCCCGTAAATGTTGGGTTTAATGCCTCCAAAACAGTAGACAAAGCTCTCAAAATCAGCCCTAAAACAGTAATTTTGAAATTCCGAAACAGCTCTCATGTAAGCTCAAAGCATCAATTTCAAATGTCCCAAAATCAGCTAGGAAATCCAGTCCAAGATAGTGTGTAAACTCTCCTAAATCAGGTAACAGATTGGCTCTAAAATAGTACGTGAATCAGCAAACAAAGCCCTAAAAATCGCAATGTTTAAACCCTCCAAACAACAGGTAAAACAACCCCCAAGGGAGGCATTTGGAAATAAAAGAACATAGACCTGCAAAGAAGCATTCAAGCCCTAGAATTACGGTCATCTTGAGCCTTGTAGTATTCCCATTCGAGTGCTCGAAGTACGAAATCAGAAAATGAGTATTTAAGATCAACAAGTAAATGGTCATTGGAACCTCACAATATTTGCATTCAAGTGCTTGAAACATAATACCAGCAAATGAGCGTTTAAAATCAGCAATAACATATAATCGAAATATTGTTTATATTTCTCCAAAATCAGTAAGGATGTATTCATGTGGAAAGGATTCCATTTCAAATTTATGTAAATAATTTGATAGTCATAAAATGTAATAGCTGGAAGAATATACCTGCAACTGAGAAGAATTAGAAGAGATACCAATCTCATGTGGCGAAGAGGGACAACCGAGCGTTGTAGAGTCAGCAAGCACTAAACAGGTGAAATATGGGACTTTCGAAGGTCTTGCACGCGGTGATCCCGTGGCCAGCTAATTCTAATAGCAAGTGTGCCGCTGGGTTTCCATCGAGAGGTGAAGTCAAACAGGAAAGGCGACGAGAATTTCGGGCGCGGGTAGGAGAGCCAGCGAGAAAAGCAAAGCCGAGCAGGAAAAGTGAAACCGAGTGAGAGAAAGGCTTCAGTGCAGAGGGGAGGCAAGTGAGGAGGCGAAGCAGGCGTGAAAGGAGGGAGTCGAAGCAGGCGACAGAGAAAGGAGTCGAAAGCCGAGAAGATCGAAGCAGGTGAGCGGGCTCAAGCGGTCTAGACGCAGAGAGGAGAGGCAAGACTGGAAGGTAGACGTGGGGGTCTGTCGAGAGGAAGAGAGGAGGCGAGGGAGATGGCGTCGAGCGGGAGAGTTGAAGCAAGCGATTATTTCGGTGCCGAGTAGAGGAGTCGAGCGACAGGAAGTGTGGAGCGGTTTGGTCGCGTAGAGAAAGGGGCGTGCGAGATCGAGAGTGAGGAAGAGGGGAAGCGAGATTTTCAGTGCAGGGGAAGAGGGGGTCGACCGCACGCGAGCAGGAAATCTGGAGGCGGGATCGAACGTGGTAGAGGGAGGCGAGCGAGTCTCGGTCGCGAAAGTGTAGATGAGCCGAGCGGCTGGGAATCGAGAGGAAAGGTGAGGCCGAATGCGGGCCGAGCAGGAGTTCGA